AAAATAGAAAAGAATGCCCTTCTTTAAAGAACATTAGTCAAGTGCAAAAACAACAGAATAGTTACTGTTTTTCACTATAACTGGGGTTTGCAAAACAAAAAAATCACAAATGGATGCTAAAGCCATTAAATTAAAGCTTGGTGGAAAACAGAATACTTAGCCAATCCCAACACTCCAAGATTACTTACAAAATGCAAGAGAAAACCATTGTATCTCAAAACAGAAAGCTAGCAACTGCCATCTAAACCAAGGGACCAGGGTAATAGGAGGTATAGCTCAGTGGAAGAGTAGTTGCCTAGCATCTGCAAGTCCCTGAATTCCATCCCCAGCACTGCAAAGTAAGTAAACAAAATAAACCAAAGGATCAAACTCAGCCTCACCTAAGATAGGATATCATATTGCATGAATTGGAAACATATAGAGCACCCAACCTTTCCTAGAAAAATTCTTGCAAAAAACTCTTGCCTTTAAACCCAACTTCTAGCTATATCAAAACCAGAAAATATGAGAAAAGGTTCACTGATACCCAAGGAAAAAGACAAATGCAGAATACAGGGTATTTCTGAAGGATTTTTTTTAGTATACATACAGCACTGACAGGTGATCTTAGGTATACAAAGAAGAATGAGGAAGAGAACCAGAGTTAACTGAGTGTCTCAAAGCTCCACAAACTAAACCTCATAATAAATCTTATGAAGTATCATCTCTATTTCATAAGAACCAGTGTCCCCATTTCCAAAATTCATACTCTAATTGAAAAGATGTATTTATAAACAGCCCTTAGAATGTAGCAAGTACAGTAAGGTATTCACAGGTCTGATGTTACCAGAACTAGGAGTCAAGTTAACATCTTTGAGCCTTTACTATGTACACAAGGAGGAAACATTCACCTTCTAAATCGAATTCCTTGAGAGAATTATAAAGAAAACTCTTATGCTACTGTTTATATCTCAGGACACAAGGGTTTTGCCAAGTGGGCAAAATAGAAGACAGAGTACTTTAATATAAGCAAACGCCCTGGAGACAAGAAAATTCAAGAACTGTTTGGGATCAAGCATGTTTTTGTTTACAATAAATTTGTAAAGTAGAAATTGAGAGATAAGACTATCAAATAGTTTGAAATTAGACCACAAAAATCTTGGAATGCTTATCTAAGGACTTTTAATAAATGGACCCCATTAGAGATTTTCTCAGAAGTGGACAGAATAGTCTTTTAAGTAGATACATGTAGGAAAAAGGTAGGGGAAATAGTCTAGCTTGTGAGTTAAAAGAATAGCAAAATGACAGACTGCCATTCTACTCTGAAAATTGAGGCAGGAAGCAATCTGTGCTCCCCACTTACCTAATGTTTACCCAATGTAGAAGGAAGTCTACTTCCACTCTTTTGGATCAGTTTGACTCCACAGTGAATTATACATAATATCTTTTGCTTATTCAGGCACATAAAACAGGGAGTATGTTACAAGGTGTTTCACACCTAAACATCTAAACTAGGGTGATTTTTTCAATTCTTCCCAGGATGGCACAAAATTAGCACTATTCTAGTGTATAGAAATTATGTCAGTGCATGTCTTGATGTGTTAGGACTTAATTCTTTTTTTGAGCCCCAGTTTTAAAAGGCAACAAGATTGATTACTTGATTGCTTTAATAAACTCATCAGACTGAGAAATAACTGAAAACCATTGGCAGAATGGTTCTTTTATAATAGAGAACATTTGAATAAAGAACTATTAGATAATCCCTAAAAAAAATTCATGTGCCAGTTTTGATTTCTTCTTTTCTCTAATCAAGTCATTTCATTGTTAGATCATGTCTATGTTCGCCTATTCTTATTTGCCCTAAAAATAAGTAATTACAATTATTTTGTCTCGTCACCCTTTTAATACTCAGCTGCCAGAAAACCTCCCCCAAACACCCATTTTATCATCTCTTCCTCACTTAAAATAAAATGATAAAGGATAAGAAATAATCAGAAAATGTTAAGTCCTTTAATAGCTCACCATGGCACGATGGTAGAAAGGCAGGAATGTTTCTTTGGAAGAGGGGTTACATAGTCTTAGAAGTTATCTGGGATCATGGTCTAGCTATAAGGGCACTGTGTGCCCTTGAAAAAAGTTGCCTAATTGCTCTACATCTTTGTTTCCAAGCCTATAATAAAGATGTTTTATGCCTTTCTCAGTTTTTCGTAAGATATTTGTGAAATCTCAGCACCTAGAAAAGCTACTGATTAATTCCAGGAAACTCCCTGGCATTCTAGGTTTTGTCAAATCTTTTTTTTTTTTTTTTTGTGGTACTGGGATTTGAACTCAGGACCTACACCTTGAGCCACTCCACCAGCCCTTTTTTGTGGTGGGCTTTTCAAGATAGGATCTCACAAACTATTTGCCTGGGCTAGTTTCGAACCATGATCCCTACTGATCCTTGCCTCCTGTACAGCTAGCATTACAGGTGTGAGCCACCCAGTTTAGGCCTACTCAAATTTTACTTCCCTTTTCCTTTTTATCTTTGGCTTGATCTTCAACCTCAAGCAAACACATCTCTTCACTGCTCTTGTATCATTCATGCTCATCTTTCACCCCAAGCTTTCATCTTTTTTTCCTTTCCTCCCCTTTCCTTCCTCCCCGTTCTCCTTCCCCTCTCATCTCCTCCCCTTTCTTTCTTCCTTCCTTTCTTTCTTTTCTCTCTGTTTCTCAGTTTCTCTCTCTGATATTGCTTTCTTTCTACTCACCTAACCAAACTTTCTCCATCTATAAGATTCATATCTAATTCTTTCATGAGACATTCTTCTTTGAGAAAGTCTAGATTTATTGTCTATATTAATTTGACATTTTATAATAAAAATTTATAAGTAAACTAGCGTTCTTCTCATTAGAATACTATTATTTGAACTCTAGCAGTAATATAAAAATGGAGCATTCATCTACCTTAAAAGACTAAAACTAATGGACAGACTGCTGAGCCTCTAAAGGCAATGCATTTGCTGCATATGTATATAGAACTACTCACTTTTTCACCACAGGAGAATAATGTGGATACACATGCACAGTGCTTCATAAGTGTTCTATAAGTAATAGATATTTGGGAAATACATGATTAGTCAAATCAGTAATTTATATGACTTTCTTTAAAGAACTAAAAAAACTGTAACAGTCATTAATCTTCAGTCTAATATAATAAGAAATACCATAATTTCTAGTTATGCTTGATCAATGGCCTCAGGTTTTATCTATGTATACAAAATAAAGTTGTAAACAAAAGAATCCATATGGACTACTCAAGATTTTTTTAATTTCAAAATAATTTGATTATTAAGGCTAACATTGCTTTCATTTGAATAATGAACAAGTATAAACGTGGGTGTGATGTAAAAACAAAAATATTTTCATTTAGTAAAGGTAATCAGAAAAAAATTAAAATTCACATAAATTTTCATTAAAATGTCCCAGATTTTCCTTGTAAAAATCTAACAGGGATTAGGCTTATTTAACATTTGTATAAATCAGCAACTTCAGAAAAATTATGCTGCCAAATTAATAAATTGCCAATTCACAATTCATTATAAATATTTAAAGAGCATTAAATATAGAATAGGTATAGATCCCTGAAGAATATTCCAGACACCATGAGAAATAATACTCAATACTTAGTCCTACACTTTCTTAAACCAATATTTCTCAAACTTTTCCACTTCAGCTACCCTTTCTTAGTAAATATTCCAATAAAAGCTGAGGAGAACATAACCTAAAACTATACCATGTTCTAAATTCTGTCCTAAGATGTGCCCATGCTTATTCTGAGGCTCTGCATGCACTCTCAGTAACATACAGTCCAGTTTGAGAAGTGCTGACTTATACCAGCATATGTCTAGCTAAAAAATATTTCCTGGATTACGATACTGGAACAATTTCATTAATATTGCCTGAAGCAGATAATGAGAACTATTTGACATTTGTTAAGTACTAAGTATGCAAAAGGCATTAAATTAGGTTTATATATGTAAAATATCAATTTTCATTTATCATGCCTGCTATAATGAAGGAACAGAGGCATAAAAAAATTAAAACAGCTATCCTATGCCAAGACAACTAATAAATTTAGCTACTTCATACCCAGGTCTCTACTCTATCATGACCTCATTAATATTTTATTTTTATGGAAATCGTGTTCTTTGACCTGTTTTTAATCTTACTTTCCAAGAATTTAATGGAGTTAGACTACGCTTAGCCCAATGGCCACTACTGTCTACACAGAACATTTTCACTTGTGTTACAGCTATCCAGCTAATCAGCTATTTATACTAAAAGAGACAGACACTAGAATCTAGCAACTAAATTGAGTTGATTCTTAGATCCAAGAAAGACCTGGCATTGTAAATAGGATAAGCATATATTTCTATACACAAATCATATGTCTAATCCAAAAGGGCAACATGGAGCAAAAGAACACAGGATGAGAAGTTACTTAGCAACCCTAACTCTGATTAGCCTCTGTCACTAGCTAGTCACATGTCCTTAAGTAAATCACTTGCCTCTGTAGAATTTATGTTCATCTTATGAAGGGATATACTAGCAGATTTTTAAGCTTCCTTTTATTCATAAGGTTTTATCTCTTGATTTCTATATCTATGTTTTTATTATTCTTAGCTAGTACCTTTTTATTAGCACATCTCTAAGCAGTTAATTTTTTAAAACTTTATTTTTATGTCCTCGACCATCAGTCTTTCTTCTTGAAGTATTCCCTTAGCCCTTGCTTCTTAACCACTTCCATTTTATAGTCACATGTTGAACACAACAAAACTGCCCAATGAAAGTTGCTGTTTTATACTAAGTTCACTCAGAGCTCTACTTTTAAAATGGTTATGATATAAGATGCTACATCAATGGATGTGTTTTGTAAAATGTTTGGTGATTTGGTATTTGTATTTATAATTAAATCATATTGTGCTTACAATTCAAATATTTAAATACATTAAAAGTCATGGGTAAACTATGCTACTAACCATCTTCCTGTTTGATTTGCAATCTTCTCTTCTAATTTCTGTAGCTCTGATGTGTAAGCCATTATTCGAGCGTTGCACACCATAAGATTCTTAACTGCATGTAAAACCTGGTCTTTTTGAGTGCTCAGAGAAAGGAGTTTCCATATTCCTTCTCGCATTCGAATTTCAAAGTCTATTTTCTCTTGAATGTTGCAGTCCTAAAATAAAGACAGAAGCATTTTAAAAAGGTAGCAAAAATCCAAAATTACATTTCTTTTTACTCCTAATAGGTGGAAAATTTTCTAGCTATCATTCATTCATGCCATGTTAGGAAACAATGTTTAATGCATGATATATATAGCGCTATTTTTGAAAGCGCTTATAAAACCTTAATTTCTTTCATTATAGAACAGAAACAAAGGTGAGAAACATTACATGTTCATACCACAATTATATTAGTTGAATAGTGTCCCCAAAATTCATGTCCGTACAGAGCCCCAGAATGTAACCTTACTTGGATATAGGGTTTTTCAGATGTTATTCATTAAGATCAAATAACACTGGATTAGAGTGGAACCTAAATCCAATGATCGTGTCCTTATAAGATGACATGTGAAGACACAGATACACAGAGAATGCCATGAAAACAGAGATTAGCGTAATGAATCCAGAAGTGAAAGAACACTAAGGATTCATGGCAACGACCAGAAACTGGAAAAGGCAAAGAAGAATTCTTCCCAAGGGCCGTCAGAGGAGAGCATGGCTCTACTAATACCTTGATTTCAGACTTTCTGGCATCTGCCCACTGTTGGCCACCCACTGTTGACCACTTGTTATGGCAGCCTTAAGAAACATACAATAACTAATGTGAATGATCTACCACACTATCTGTCACACAAACTGTATTGTAGATGGAAAGATATAGTTGAGAGCACTGAATTAACAAAGGAAAAAAACTCTTAAGGAGCAGATGCTGAATACAGGAAAAAAGGTTTCGCAGCAAGGAGGTAACAGACTACTTATATGGTAAGCAGTATAAATAAAATCTCAGAAGAAACAGAGTGAAAACAGTATGCTTAGAAAATGTTGCAGGGGTTCTTAGCCACACAAATAGTCTCAGAACACAATTCTGAGCATATTTTAGTTTTTTCACTAAGAAACAACTAAGTAATTCAGTTCTCAAAATATTTTCCATTTAATGATCTTGTAATAGCTCAATTTCATATGAAAGTTGTATTTGTAACACTAAAATTCTACAAATCAAATGTACAGTTCTGCTTTTACTCTCTACAGCTTTGAAAAATTATAAAGATAAAGATATTTGTCACTCTTTACAAGCATGTAATAATGCTTCTAGCATATCTATTTCTAAAAGTTAAGTGACCACCTTGGCTTCTGTGATTAAAAAAAATGACCACTATTACTTCCTTTCTAATTATATTAAAATATAAATTTTAAAATGTGAATGAAATCTAATAACACAAGTTCCAAATATTAAAAAGGCAAGTTTTTAAAAAAGTAGAAGAAAGCTAGAATACTCTATTAAAATTAAACACCCAAAAAAGGAAACTAAATGATTTGACTATCCAAATCAATCAACTGTATTATTTACATGCAAAACCAAATCTGTTTAATTGCCTTCTGTAATTACATCATGTAATCACCACATAAAAACCTCCTGTAGTGTTGTAACTCAAAATTGGTGTACTATTTAAATGTAGTCATTTGCTAGTTTTCCTTCTTTACACATGACTGAATTTCAACAAGTCCATTTCATCTTTTTATGACTTATTAGCCCCAAAGTAAATTCTTCTTTAATGTAATTAGCAATTAATTATAAGAATTATCTATGTGATCCATATGTCTATAAACAAAGTATGACAGACTGGTTAGAATTGGAGAGTGCACTCAGAGAACAACTTGAAGCTGGGATGAATAGCTTTACCCCACAATTCAGATACAAGTAAATACCATCTGGTGCCACTAAATTCAACTTTGCTTTTTAGTCACAGCAATAAGGCAGCCAGTTGAACAAGCACAGTAGTTCTCAAAACTGACTGTGCTTTAGAATCATCTGAAGCAGAGAGGAAGGGCCTTATAAAAGTAACTAAAATTGTTTCCTAACAACACAAACTAGTTAGGATATCTGCAGGTAGTGCCTGAGATTTCTTTTTTTCTTTTTTTTAAAAAAAGTTCCTCTAGTAATTCAATGCTTGGGATAGATGACCATTGCTGGACTGTGAGATTCCAGAGATCATGAAAATGCATCAACCATAAGGCACCAGTAGGTGGCCACAGCCACATTAAGGATTCAGTATGGGCTTCCAGGGTTGGCATCCTCTGAATAAACATTGTCCTCTTCCCATCACTTATTGAAAAAGACTCCATAAAATTACAGAGGCTTAGGAAATGGTGAAAAAGGAAATGTCGGGGTTTTTTAAAAAGTGTAAGCGTAAGTTAATATTCATTAAAGAAATGAGGTATATTTAGCAGATACTATTAGAATTTTATCTTTTGGAGCACGGGCTACCAAACTATGGCCTAGCTGGCAATTGTTTTCGTAAATTAAATAAAACTGCTTCAGAGCATAGCCACACCCGTTTACTCATAGCTACAATAGCAGAGTAATTTCAAAGACTGTGGTCTGCAAAGCTGAAAGTATTTACTATCTGGCCCTTTACCAGCAGGGCCCAATTAATATATATAGTAAATTCAGACCCTAACTCCCTTGCTGAGCAGGTCTTAGGCTAATGAGTTAGGTGGATCTAGGAAGGTTGACATAAGCAGGAAACTGCTAAGCTTTTGGATGTACTCGGTTAATAATAAAAGCCTATTATTACAGCCAGTTGAGTGGAGTTTTTTTTACTTTACAAAATAATGGGTTTCATTATAACACTTTCATACATATATACAATGTTTTTCAATCATATCTACTCCCTATCACTTTCTCTTGTCCTCCTGTTTTGTGTTTCCCATGTAACTTCTTTTGGTACACATCTATTCTTTACCAACAGAGAAAAACCTCTCTGATCAAGCAGTACCAGCTATAGCCAAAGAATGGTTTATGGAGCCAAAGGACTTGTCTTTAGTTAATAAGTGTTCACAGAGCTGCTAGGGAGGAACTGATGTCTAGTGCCATCCACAGTGAGAATAACGACTATTTCTCTGAGCATTCAATGATGATACTTACTGACCTTAAAGAACAGAGAGCTATAATCATCACTGTTGCTGCTTCAACCATAAGGATATAAAGGTACTCAAGACTGATTAGGACCAAAGACAAAAACATGGCTCCATATATCCATCCCTTTTTGGAATAGTTGAATGCAAGTCTCCAGGAAGAACAGAGAATAGGATAAAGCCATCCTCTTCTTATTTCTGATTCAAATTTCTGAATAAGGACTTGCTTATAATGAAGTCAAACAGAAGCACTATGGCACTGTCCTGATCTTGTAAGTACTTAAAAGTTGGTAGATAAAAATAAATTGAGTAAGGCTCTACATGAAATACGACAACTTAAAAGTAGAACTCTAGGGCTGGGGGTGTGGGGTAGCTTGGTGGTACAGTGCTTGCCTAGCACACACAAGGCTCTGGGCTTAATCCCCAGCATCACAAAAATTAAAAAGAAGAAATCTAGATTGTATAAAAGAGAGAACTCTACTAGGTCTTAAGAGCTAAAATGACACAAAGAAAGTGGTCTTACTGTTGATATAGAGAAGTGATTTTTAAAAGCAAAGTTGCTGGTACAAGATAGAAATTATTCAGAAGTAATCCTCATAAAAAATTATCACTCACCTAGAATTAATGGTAGCTAAGAGACCAAAAAGAAGAAAAATTACAGAAAAGTATATTTAGTATAATCTCAGTTTTCTAAAAGAAATGTATTTTAAAAATTGTTTAGGTACAGAAAAAAGTCTAGAATTAATCCTGGCCATTCCGGGGAAGGGAAGTGGGGAGAGAATTACTAAATTCATGCTTCTTCCTACATATACCTTTGTGCAATAAGGTGGCATTACTTCTCAAACTTTTATTTTTATTTTAGGAGCTTCAACACTTAGAAGAAGAGGTAAGTGACTGGCCCAACTGTTCAGATGAATGGGACAAAGGCTAATAACAAGAATAGTCATCTCTCAAACATGTCCTGAGTGCTATACTGTGCTGAGTACTTTTGAGAAATTCTAAAACTCTAACAACTTTCAGGGGTAGGCATTCTAGACATTTTACAACTTTGCAAACTAGACTTAAAAAAGACAGGTAACTTATTCAAAATTGCACAAGAGTTGGATTTGACCTGAATCTGACTCCAAAACCAATATTCTATGCTGTGAAGAATCAGAGATGACCCCAAGGTTGAGTAAAGTGTTTGACTAGTGTGTGACTAACCACCTCAAAATTGTTCCTCTTAACCTTATAAAATGGCAACTTCACTCATTTGGAGAAAAAATACACAAAGCAAAAATTCAGATTTAGTCAAACATAAAATTCACTTACTAACTCTCAGAATTCTTGGTAAGTTGACACTATTAGTTTGCGATTTTTCTTCAAGATCCAAATAAAATAAACAATTCTACATTTCAATTATTTTGATTTTACAATGTTTAGAAATTATTACAATGTTTAGTATTACAATATTACAATGTTTAGAAATTACCTTCGCACATGTATGCAACCCACCCTTTGTATTTAACATGTATACACGTATTTTCATTCCATGTAGCTGAACATCTTCCAAGCCCTTATCCTTGTTGTTCTTTTCTGTGCCAGTCCTAAATATCACCGCCGCACCAAGCTAGTGAATACACCCGGACTGCCACACCAACACCTACTTATGATATCCACAAGAACCCCAACATATTGAGAACACACTAGAAAACAAGACTGCTAGCAATCAAACCTGGCAATGTTACGTGATTTAAACGACCGCACTTTATAAGTCAGTAAAAGGAAGTAGATTAAAATAGAAGTGAAGATCCAGCTAAAAGACACCAGCGATTTCTTTCGAGACACTAAAATTAAAATGGTTGAGTGGGACGCATAATAAACACTTTAATAACTGATGTTGCCAAGAAATAACGCTTCACATTAAAGTAAAAAGATCTCTACCCTAGCCACTTTACATGGTTAAAAAACAAAACCCAAATGTGTATCTAATTAAGAGTGTCCTCCAGCTTTCCTTTGCCCGGCCTTCCATTGGCGCGATGGCTTTCCGGCCGTTCCCTGGTCCCCGATTCCCTGGGCATCACCTACACCTGCAAAACCGCGAGCGTCCAACCCCAGGCAGGGCGCCGCAGGTCCCTGTCATCGCCTCCGGTTTCTGGGCCTCAGTTTCCCCCCTTAACACCCCCGGGGCGCGTCTTCTGGCGCCTCCTTTGTTTCTGGCGGAGGTCCGGAGGCGAGCCGGGGCTTCCCAGAGGACCGCAGGAAGCCACGGCCTCCCGGGAACCTGGCCCTCGCACTCACCTGCTGGGTAGGAAGCCTCGCCAGGCCCGGCTCCGGCCCCTGCACCGTCGGACCCTCCATCTCCCTCGCCCACGTCGGGGCCGTTGCCACAGTTCCAGAGGAAAGATTTGAAAAGCCCGCCCCTGGCTGGAACAGAAGAGGACGCCAACCGCCCGGCCGTACCAAGTCCGGGCCGCAGGGGGACGGGGCGCCGGGGACGCTGCACGCACGCGCAGTGGGCCCGCGGCGCGCCTCCCGCCGCCAGAAGCTTGAGGAAACCAGAGATCCCAAGCGCAGACCCACAGCCAGTGTCCCGAGGGCCAAGGGACTTAAGGCGCTGGTGGGGAAGTGGGCGTGACCGGATGGGGGAGTGGGCAGGGCCTAGGTGCTAGTGGGCGGGGCCGCGGGGAAGAGTTGGAGACCTGCGCACCTGACCGCTGGTGGGGACTAGGCGCGTGGTGATGGTGTCCTGCGTTGGCGTTAGGAGCCTTCAGTCTGCATCCTACCGAAAGCCGACCAAAGTGGTCGAGGTCAGACAGACTCCAGGCTGCGGCTGCCCACAGACACCTCAGGAACACCAGGGGGCGTGAGGGAGAACCAGTGACATCGCTCTCAGCGTGCTGTCCCTCCTCTCATGGTCAACAAGTCATTCAGAGATCATGGCCTTAATCAGGCTCCTGGAACACCAGCAGGCACTTCTTGAGGTCTCATCTATTGTCTCCAGGGTTTCTTTATGATTCCAGATGCTTCCCATCTCAGTGTTCTCCCTCTCTCATCTCTTCTGTTCTCTCCCTCTTCCTCTCTCCCTTCCACCACACCACAAACTTCAAAACTAACAACACAACCGGGTACTTTTTTTCAAGCGCCCTATTTCTTCCTGTCCCTAATGGTTATTTCAAAAACTCTTTTTAATTCAAGGGATTTCAGGCCCTTGTGAAGTCCTTAAAATCCACTGCTCTTTGTTTATTCTGATAGCCCCCTTTGAAAAGGGTATAGGAAGCGTTTTTTGAGCCTCAGACATTTTTTTTCCCCTGAGGTAAAGGTCAACCCAAATCAGCCCACCTACCCTCTCCTTATAGAAGGCCTTGGACACTGTTCCCTGCATGAATAAGGTGACCATGTTTTTTATTCGCCTGGGACAATTCCTGTTTGGGTCTGTTGTCCCAATATCACACCAATCTTGGACTTGTCCTAGACAGGTGAATTTTAAATTACATGACTATGGTATCCACAAAGCCATTTTTTGAGTAGTTAGTTTGAAGGTGTAGTGCTCTTCCTTTCAAAAGGATTAACTCCTTTGAGATACTCTGGACCAGGTGATACTTAGAAGCTGCCTAGTTAGGAATGACACTCCCCTTACATTAGGAGTGGGTCATTCCTAATGACCTATATCCTAGTACACAACTGTTAAGTGGAACTCAAAATTACCAACACAGAGCTCAACTCACCTTATCCAAACACAGATCTGAATTCCATTGTCATTAGGTTCCCCTTCCCCAAGTGCACACCTCTCTTTTATGCTACCACTTTGTAGTATAATTATCCCCTACTAATGTGAGCTGCATGGGATAATACCTGACTCATAAAAGAAATACAGAGAGCTCATCATCAGACACAGTGTATTTTAGCACACACAGCTCCCAGAAATCAAAATACATGTGTAAGATAGCACTTCATGAAAACAGACAGGATACCAAGGTAAAACTGAATACTGATGTAAAAGTATTTGATGAGTGAATATTAGGTATATAACTGTAGATACATTTATAACACTCCAAGAAAGTGATCTAAAAAAGGCCATATTTGGTAATTTATAGAATATAGATAGTTGCTGTTGAAGACCTTTTTCTTTGGAGAAGACATGATGTGGGTTTATCTTCATTTTTCATCAAGGGATGTGGCTGGAAGTGCTTAAGTACCAAACTACTCTCTGGTGATTAAAATAACTCAGAGCAGGACCTCTGATTCCTTCTTTATTCCCAGGTTCTTTCTTGTTACTGCTAGTTTCATCAAACAGTTCTCTTCGGTGTTTGTAATACATGTGAAAATAAAATCAACTATGGAAACACTAAAAGGTTAGAGCTCCCATGCAGTAGTTTGACTAAATTGAGAATTATCTTACAACTCCAGAAAGTAAGAAGTACTATCTTTTACCACCTCAAATATTTGAGAGTTAAATTTGGGCATCTCTTAACACACCCTCCTTGGGCTCTCCCAGAAGGTGGGTATCCACCACCCTGCACAGGTACAGAAGGTTCAGGAGGGATGTTGAGTGATGGAATCACTGCCCTGCCAATATAATTTCCTGTGACAAAGTCAATATTTAATGTAAATTACATTAGGTATTAGTTATATTTGATATAACACATAGATGGTATTTAGTAATTACGTAGAAAGTAGATGTTTGACATAGGGCAGCCAATAATAAAAATACTTAAGTATATTTTCTTCTCTTTAGTCCCTGTATTCCTCTTCGTAACTCCCTGAGAGGTTAAAAGAAAATATTGAACTTGAACTCAGTTCCCCCTTACATATGACCCATTATTGTTAAAATGTAGTTTACTGAAGAACAGATAATTATTGTGATTTCTAATATCTTTCTAGACTCAGTAAAATCCTATTAGAAGATTCTCTTGGGCTTCCTTTATTCATCTGTTAATCATAAAAATAATAGAATTGAATGAGCTTCATAAGCTAGAACTATATTTTGAATCATATTTAAGAAAGAGAAATAGAAGGAACTGAGGTAAAGATGCTAAGCAGAGGTGTAGCATTTTCTTAAATGAATAACCTAATCTACAAACTGCTAAAGCATCATATAATCAGAAGGAAAATATAGAATGCAGTCTGAGGACATATTAACCTATGACCTGGGCAAGCCACTCAATTTCCTTATCTATAAAACAGGAAAAATATTACCCATCTTGTTTTTAAAAGTTGCTTGGAGACTCAGATAAGGTTTGCAAAAGTGCTTTATAAACTGGCTTTCCCACAAAAACATAAGCCATTACTAGAGTAAGAAGACACATCCTATGGAGGACCTGCAGAACACTGAGACCTGAATGGGAAAGCTTGTATATGTTCGGGAATGACAAATCATATCTAGAGTATACCTTAAAAAAAAAGAAACTCCTACAAGCTGGTTATGGTGGTGCACTCCTATAATTCCAACTACTCAGAAGGCTCAGGCAGAGGATCACAAGTTTGAGGGCAAACCCAGGCAACTTAGCCAGACCCTGTCTTAAAGCAAAAAGGGGCCAGGGATGTTAGCTCAGTGGTAGAGCAGTTGCCTGTCATGCGTGAGGCCCTGGCTTCCATCCCCTTTACTAAAACAACAACAGCAATGAAACTTCTTATAAATCAATAAAAATCCAGTTGGAAAATCACCAAAGGATAAAATAAATATATGTAGGACAATGAATCCAAATAACAATAAAATATGGAAGACTACTCAACCTTATTATTAGCCTGTAAATTGCAGATTAAAGTCCCAAAGATAATATTTTGTAGTCACAATAATAATAAACCTGACAGTACTAAGAGTTGGTGAACTTGCAGATCTGAGGGATATTACATATTGGTGGAAGATATGTGAATGGGCCTAATCACTTTGGAGAAATTTGGAAGTGTCTTGTAAAGTAAAAATGTGGATATAGCAAATTCCACTCATAGGTATGTATCCTTGGGAAATTCTTGCTAATTTTTACTAGCAACATTACTTTTAAGAATGTTAAAACAATCCAAGTGTTCATTTGAGGAGCATGAATAAATTGTGATGCAGTACCATGGATACCATATATCCTTTAAAAAAGAACAAATAATAGTATATGAAATAATATGGGTAATTTTTGAAACACTGAATGAAGTAAGCTAGTTTCAGAAGAGTACATATGATATAACTTTTTGAATCACAATAACAAGAGAACTGAAACAATATTGTTTATGGCACAGCACATGATGAAAGTCTGTATTTAACAAATAATGCTTTGTTTTGGTTGGTTGAATTGTCCCTTAAGGCTCATGTGTAAAGACTTGGTACTCAGTGCAGCAGTGGTCAGAGGGGGTTTTTGAAGCATATTGGATCATGCGGTATCTGACTTCATCAATCTAGTCATAGTGATTCATAATTTGATAGACATTTTTGGAAAAGTGGTAAGAACTTCAGGGTATGGGCCTACTTGGAGCTCGCACTCTGTCTGCTTTCTCTCTCTCTCTCTTCCTTCTTCCTTCCTGTCTCCCCCTCCCTGTTCTCCCCCTCCTCCTTCTCTTT